GACCGCCCAATCGGAGGGCACCACACTTACAAAGGAACACCTGATCCGAATAATCGAGAAGCAGGATCAGGCGCTTGAAGCGCTCAAGAAGGAGGTGGAAACGCTGAAGAAGGGGGCGGGCGCCGCGCTCCCGCTGGGGGTGAAAAGGAGGGAGAGAGACGAAGAGGAAGAGAGGATGTCCACCGCGTTGAGGCGCACAGTGGAGTTGGGACACCTCACCCGACACATGGCGTCGGACTTCGACGAGCACAATGGATGGGTGCACAGGCGAGCTGAGAAGCCATGGAGAGTGAGACAACCGTTGGCGCGCGGCATATTGGCGGAGCAGGCTAACTCGGTCATCCCGGAGCTGCCTAGCTACGACGAGACGACCGACCCGGAGGACCACCTGAACAACTACTTCACCAAGAACAACTACTTCACCAAGATGCAACTTTACAACAGCTCGGATGCAACCTTGTGTCGCGCCTTCCCTTCAACTTTACAACAGCTAGAAGAAGGAAGGATTGATAGCTTTGAACAGTTTGCGGCGCTATTCCTCTCAAAATTCGCTAGCCGAAAGCGCAGAAGCTTAACCGTTAGTGCGCTTTTCAAGGTCAGACAGCGCAAGGGTGAGGCGCTCAGAGATTTATACGAGCGTTGGATGTCCGTGGCCATGGCTGTTAAAGACGTAAAGCACCCGGTCTTGGGATGCTGCCTGGACGAGTGCACCACGAGGGAGGAGTTGTGCAGAGCGCTGTCCAAGAGGGGCGTGGTGTCAACCGAAGACTTAGACCGGAGGGTGCAGAAGGTCATTATGCTGGAGGAGACGTTGGCCGCGAGGAGGATGGACCGTCGGGAAGCGCGGCCGAAGGAAACTGAAGGGAACAGGGCGCCTCGAATTCAGTAGGCCTCAAACAATCCTCCAGGTTTCCCCCCGAGCGCCCGCCGGAATGAGCCTCCACGCTTCACGCCGAGGGGAGCCGGGAACTTCACTGAACTCAACGACTCCTTGAAGAACGTTCTGCAGTATATGAAGGACAAGGGATACCATCTGCGCTGGCCTGGTCCCATAAGGGGGCGCCCGAATGAGCAGAACCTGGATAGGTATTGTGAATTCCACCGAGAGAGGGGTCACCACACGGTGGACTGTTACCAGCTTAAGTCAGAAATAGAAGGACTTGTTGACAGAGGGATGTTGAGCGAGTTCGTGAGGAAGGGTGAAGACAAGACGCAAAGAACGTTCATGGCTCGGGAGAAGAGATGCGCCCTTGGAGAGAGAGCTTAAGGGAAAGGAAGAGCGCGAGAAAGGCGGGGTGTCCATGGCAGGCGAGGCTCTTCCCCCACGCCCCTTTGACGTCGAGCCAGAGACAAACCCGAGCCTGGTGCGACTGACGATTGAAGTCATCACAGGTTAGATCGACCTGAGGCAGAAGCTAGAGGAAGGGAGACGTTTGAAATCAACCACCGCGAGCACGAGGGAGGCGATCCAAATCCATTTCAACGAGGTGCCCGAGGAAGCCTGTCGAGTACCCTTGCTAGAGGCGCTGGAGAGCCGGGGCGTGGTGGCTGGATGCGAGGTGAAGAGGATGCTGGTGGACACAGGGAGCTCAATGGATGTGCTTTTCTGATCCACCTTTGAGAAAATGCAGTTGGCGCCGAGCATCGTCAGTTAAGTGGACTCGATCCTGATTGGATTCTTGGGGGTGCCTGCGCGGGTCATAGGGCGCGTGCGCCTGCCGGTGACACTAGGGGAGGAGGAAGACAGGGTGACGCACACTGTGGATTTTGGGATCGTGGATTGTCCTTCCTCCTACAATGCTATCCTGGGGCGCCCATTACTGGCGCTCTTCAACGAAGTAGCATTGTCATGTCACCAAGTTTTGAAGTTCGTTACTCCAATAGGAGTGGGCGTGTCGAGAGGCGAAGCCTCGCAGGAAGCGCGCCTTGCCAAGAGGATGCGGATGTACAACATCGACGTATGCCCTGAAGATTTTCCAAGGGCGGAGGCGGCCGACGGTGAAATTCAGGTATCATTGGACGAAGAGCGCTCGAAGCGGTTGACACGCTAAAACACAACACCAAACTGCGACCAAGTGTAATCGCAGTCCGGGAATGCAGTAAAGTGGCATGTTCTAAATATCAACCCGGGGTCTAGATCTACTGCCTACTCCGTGATTATCTATTATCAAGCAAGGAAGAGTCACTCGGGAATGATTCCCCCTAGCTCCTTAGTTAGGTCTCAGTTGTAATTATCCTGGGTTGATTTACTGTTGATTAAACTGCGGAAGATCCGATAGTAGCTTGGAATCTCTTAAGCTGACCAAGCCCTCTCAGTCTAACTACCCGGCAGATGACTAGTCTTCACCGGGATAGAAAGCTGAAGCAATAAGCACAAAACTCCACTACTGTAATTGGATTCCAGTACAAAGCAATAGACTGGCTAACTCTCGTATAACCAATCCACTACTAATGAATGATGAAGCTCTAACAACCTAATCAGATTCTATCTATCTCAGGTTGCAGCAGAAATCAAGAAAAGCTGATCAGACTTCAATTAATTCAATGAAACATGCATCATTCGATTAAAACCAAACAGTATAATCATCCCAAGTCATTACAATCAAATCCCTAACACATGGAACTAGGGTTCTTCATACCCAAGTGAAAGAGGGTTCTACTCCATAGAGAGAGAGGAAAACAGCAAACAAAGCAGTCATACTCATCAAGATGGGAAGAATCTGCTCTGGGATGATGATTTTCACTCCTATGATGATCTCCAAGCTCGATTTGATGAAACCCAGCTCCAAGATCGCTTCTAGGATGTGTTCTTCGCACTTTCTCTCTCTAGGGCTCTGTTTTTGCTCTGAAAAGTCGATTCCCTTTCCTTTGGCTCGAATTTGGGTAAAAACCGTGTGGCTTACCCAAATGCACGTGTGAGTTCCAAAACGCGGCATTCCGATTAAGTGGACTTCAGGCTTCCTACACGGCCAGGGACACACGGTCGTGTGGAATCTCCAGGATGCCCGTGTGAAGGCTCGGTAAATCCCACACGGCCACCTGGGTTCCTTACACGGCCGTGTGGGTTTTAGGAGTGCCCGTGTGGCTTCCTCAGTGTCTCGCCACATGTCCTATCTTCGTCCAATCGACCCCGAACTCGCTTCCAAACCTTCATTCACGTACTAGGACCTGAAATATCACAAACAAGCACAACCTAGCGTGAAATCGGCCTAAAACATGAGAATCAACATCTCAAACGGCTCAATTATAGGGGTAAAAACATGTGCAATTAAAGGTCTATCAGCGGTGCGTTCGCACCTCCGCATGCACAAGCGGCGAAGCGGCCGAGGTGTTAGTGGGGCTACTTAGAAAGTTCGCGGATCTCTTTGCCTGGAGTGCTAAGAAAATGCCAGGGGTATGGCCGGAAGTGGCGGTGCATCGCTTGTCTGTGGAAAAGGGCGTGTGCTCCGTACAACAGAAAAGGAGGCCTTTGGAAGAGGAGAAGGAAGAGGCGTTGCGCAATGAGGTCGATAAGTTGCGCGAAGCTGGATTTGTAAAGGAGGCGCGATACACAACGTGGCTGTCCAATGTGGTGCTGGTACCTAAGGCATCGGGAGACTGGAGGATGTGCGTCGACTACACAAGCCTAAATCGGGTGTGCCCCACGGACGCGTATCCGATGCCGCGCATTGACCAGCTAGTGGATGCGACCGCCTACTACGAGGCGTTGAGCATTCTGGACATGTTTTCTGGGTACCACCAAATCCTCATGTGCGAGGAAGACCGAGAGAAAACCGCGTTCATGACCCCCTTTGGCAATTCTCGCTACAAGGTCATGTCGTTCAGATTAAAAAATGCTGGAGCTACCTACCAGCGCATGGTGAACACCGTATTCCAAAACCAGATCGTCAAAAATGTGGAGGCATACTTTGATGATCTGGTAGTCAAGAGCCGGAGGAAAGAAGATCACCTGAAGGATTTGCGCGAGACTTTTGAGATCATGCGCGCTCACACTTTGCGCCACAACCAGCTGAAATGCATTTTTGGAGCGGTGGCCGGCAAGTTCTTGGGCTTCATGATTACGAAAAGGGGGATCGAGGCCAACCCGAAGCAAGTAGAGGCGATCAGGAGCCTCGAGCCTCCAAGGACGCCTAAAGAAGTGCAAAGTTTGAATGGGCGCCTGGCGGCGTGTGGCGACTAATCCCGCGCTCAACGGACAGGTGTGCTCCTTTCTTCCGAGTTTTGAAGAGGGCCGTTCGCTTCAAATGGACAGAGGAATGCGATGCGTCGTTCGAGCAGTTGAAAAGTCTCTTGGTGGCACCCATAGTCATGACGGCGCCACGGATGGGCGAAACATTGTACCTCTACATTGCAGTCTCGCGCATGGTGGTTAGTGTGGTGCTCGTCTCGAGGGCGGCAACAGAAGGAGAAGAGCGCCCCGTATATTATGTTAGCAAAGTGATGACTGGCCTGGAGACACGCTATGCTCCTATCGAAAAGGTAGCCCTGGCTGTTGTCGCCGCGGCGAAAAAGTTACGCCCGTACTTCCAGGCCCACACGGTGGTGGTGCTCACCAACTTGCCATTGAAGAGTACGCTGGGATCCATGGATGTGGCGGGGCGCATGGTGAAGTGGGCGGTGCATCTAAGAGAGTACGACATCAAGTAGGCGCCTCGCCCGGCGATCAATGCACAAGTGCTGGGCGACTTTGCAACCGAAGGAGTGGTGAGTGAGGGAGAGGGAGCGGATGAAAGCTGGCAGGTCTATGTTGATGAGGCGGCTAGCCGAGTCATAGCAGGAGCGGAAATAGTGGTCATCACGCCCATGGGCGCGATGCATGAGTTAGCGCTCATGTTCTAGTCGTTAAAAACAAACAACGCGGCAGAGTACGAGGCTGTGGTGGCGGGCTTGAATATAGCGCGAGAGCTGGGAGCGCAGAGGATACAGGTCCGTTCTGACTCAGCCTTAGTGGTAAACCAATTGAATGGAATATTCGAAGTGAAAGAAGAAGCGTTGAGCGCTTACCTGCGAAGGATTGAGGACATGCGCGCCTGGTTCGAGCGGGTGGAGTTCATGACGTATTCAGCCAGGTCCTTCTTGAGGCGCTTCGTCCCGGCTAGGGACGCCTTCATATCCTTCTTATACTGCTCCTTGGACTTCCTCGTCCTCTTCAGCTCTTCTGAGATCTTGCGCGCCTCGGTGCGGAGCCATTCCACCTCCGCATGGAACTTGTCGCGCTCCCCCACCAACTCCGCCTGCCTCTCGCGCAGGCTACACTCCATCTACGCCGTCTCCGCTTGGGTGGTGGCGGCTTGCACCTCGTAGCTCTTTGCACACCTTCTCGACGACCGCTTTTATCTTCTCATGCTCAGCCTCTAGACTAGTTGATAATTTGGCCGCCCAAGCTTGGGCCTCGCGCCTAGTCCCGGGCGTTGGCCAAAGACTCGTGCGTCTCATGCGCGGCGGCCAGCTCGTCACGAAGGTGCTCCGCGATGTTGTCGGACGCCAAACTCTCTTTGGCCATCCGATCGAACTCACGCGCGGTGGATTCGATCAGCATCATCATCTGGTACACGCACAGTGTAACAAAGGCTCAGTTAGACTTGCAAATAATCAAGCAAAAACAAACCACCTAGAAAGCCGAATGGCAAGGCGCCTTACCTGAACGGAGAGGTTGGCCATGGTGCGAAGGGGCCGGTTGGAGTTGAGGTGATCGGGGCGTTCGATCACCGCAGCGTGAGATAGCACCATCTGCATCGAGGCGGCCGGATCTTTCGCCGCCTTGACCGGCACGCCTACAGCGACCTTCTCCAATGGTCGGGCAGGGGGTAGTGTTTTCCCTGTGTGCTCCACCACACTTAGCATAACCAAGCTGGCTGGCACGCCCGAGGCCACCACATGGTCCAGCTTGGCCTTCTTCGTGGCCGAGAGGAGTGGATCATCAGGCCTTGTCTCCTACCCCTTGGCTTGGGAGGGTCGGTTAGGCGTCTGAGAGGTGGCGCCCTGGCTGCGGAGCGAGCGAGAGGGGCCTTGGCTTCAGGGAGTGCGAGAGGCGCCCTGGCTTCGGTGTGATGGGGAGGCGCCCTGATCATCGTTAAGATGAATGGGGGAGTTGTATGAAGGCTGGGGTGGTTCAGTGGCAGAAGGAGAAGGCGCGCGACTCGCCGGCACAGTAGGCGAGGAGACAATCCTCACACGCACGGGCGCTTTGCGCGAAGGTTGGGACTTGGCAACGGCGGCCTTAGCAGACTTGGCACGTGCGCGAGGCGCAGGAGGGATCAGATGGAGCTTCGATCGGATGAGATCGGAGACGGAGGTGAACATAGTGCCTGCAAAAAAGGGATGTCAGCAACTAGGTTAGCTAGGCGCGTAAGCGAAGGAAAGGTGTGTTATTTTCAGGCGCATGAAACTACCATCATTGTAGAACTCCGCTAAGTGACGGACGTACTCATCGTTTATTTCAAGGTTTATGGGCACTCACGCAAGGCGCCGCGCCATGTCTTCCTCCGCCTTATTGAGGTCGGGGTGATTATTGAACTCAGTCTCATCCCCGAAGGCCCACTGAGTCAGGGGCACGACGCCGCTCTCAAAGAAGGGCGTGTCGCGCGGGCGGACTAAGAAAAAAGACTCGAACCACGAGCGCCCCATTTTCTTACAGTGGCTGATGAAATTGTACCCCAGTTTTGGGCGCCTTTGCAGACTGAAGCAGTTGGGGCTTCTAATTATCACGAAGAAATGGCGAAAAAGTTTAAAGGAGGCAAGAATGTTATGTTGGCGACACTTGAGGCGGAAGAGAATCGTGTACAAATTAATGACAGGAGAAAGGCGCCCGAGGGAGCACTGGCATAGGTGGAGTACGCCTTCAAGAATGGGATCGATTGGGAAACGGAGCCCAAATCGGGCGTACTCTTGATACACTCCGACCCAACCTTCCCCACACACCCCCACGCGCGCGATGGGTGATGGGTGCCCGTAGCGCCAGTCTGCGGGCATCTGTAACGCCCGGATTAGCTTTGTTAATTGTGAGTAAAGGATCTTGGACGTGTGCGGGGGCCCGGTGTCTTCCTCCGACATCTGGTCAATGTCGGTGGCATATACCCAGGCGGCCACATGTTGCCCCATTGCCTTATCACGAAATCTCGAGGAGCGCCGGTGCCTAAGTCAGAAGAAGAGGAGGAGGTCAAGAAAGGCGCTCAAGGGGGGGATGCTGTCGGAAAAGGGCGCTCAGGTAAGAAGCGGGGGGCGCTCAGAAAAGGAGGAATGTAAGAGTGGCTTTTCCCTCAACCCTCGCGAAACGCGTCGTTCAAGCACAAGGCGCATAACTCAAAAAGCGTTATGCATTTTGTAAAACAAAAACAAGGAGTTAGTTACTACAGAATCAACAACCCATCCAATAACTTTGAACCTCCAAACACTCAACAACCCATCCTATCTACAGAATCAATCCTTGTTATTGTCTACCTTGGTTCTTTTAGGACAAGGCATTGAAACCAGCAAGTTAGTTACTACATCAGCATAGCATTTCATGATGATTCTGGAACAGAGGAATTTTGTTCCTTTAGTCATCTTCAGTTCAGACACAATATTGTTGCCAGGAGGGAAGGGGTATTAATGACAGCTTAGGTGATAATACACTTAAGGAACTTGTAGGTACAACAGGATTGCTAAAATATAGAAAGCTTGACTATGAGATATACAAGTGTCAATCAAGGTTATGAGTCATCTGCAATTAATATGTCCTCTGGAACTAGACTAGCTGGCACCGAGCTTGGAATAAAGACAAGGAGTAGCAGCAAGGAATGTAAATCCATCAAGTCATCTTCGGACACAAAATTTGTCAAGATCTAAGCAAAATTTGTCAAGGAGAACGAATACGGCTGTCATTTCAAAGAACCAAGGTAGATATCAAGTCATTTCTACATCCATGCTCATATTCCACCAACCTGATAGTTATTGCAGACAGTCAGTCAGTCGGGCAAAGCAATCATACAAACTGAAAGAGATGGAAAAGAGTATCAAGAAGGCTTACCAAGTAAGTAGCTTAAAAATCGCACGCACAAGCCGCCTGCTGTACGTGCAGCTTCTTGGCGTACAAACTATGTGCCTGCCCTTCTCCGAAAACAAGAATCTCTTCTGAACAGCCGATGTCAGCTTTCTAATAGGCTTACTTTCTCGCCATCATCAAGAAAATCAAGATGGAAGACAAAGGGTGGCGAGTGGCGACATGCGGGAGAAAGTTTGCCTCAATGATAAAGGAGTTGGTGCACGTACGTTTTAGCCCGAAGGATTGATTAAGCTCGACGAAATCGGAAATGGTGATCGAGGATGTATTTGGAAAACAGGGGGGAGAAACTCGTCGAACAGCACAGACAGGGAAGACAGGGAAAGTAAGAGAGAGAGAGGAGGATTCTCTTGTTATGTTTTCATAGCCGTAGCACAGTGTTCCCTCCCACTCGCTTTAGTACTCCTGGCCTGGCCTGGCTAATGGAAAACTTACCCATTAGTCACGCACTCTAGTAATATCTCCAATCACGTCCTATCAATAAAATCCAATACTTCTGTTTAGTTACATTTGGGTCTAAGGTTTACTTTACAGCTCCTCCCTCCCTTCTGGTGCTCAAGTCCGGAACCAGGGAAATCGAGCCCTGAACTCGTCCCCACATGTATTGACCCGACCCTTTCTATTTTTGTAGAGGTAACATAACATCTCACATTGGAGTCTAATGTAAATGGTCTTTCTTTAGCCTTTTACCCTTCTCATGTCTCATACTGTTCCTCTGCTCTATTGTTTGTTCTCTTCATCTCTGTTGTTTTCTACTTATTACAGAGATGTCGTTATCAATGAAGAACGGAAGTCAGCGCGTTTGTTTGTTTTGTTACCAGGCCATTGCAAATAAATGCACACATTTCAGCTTTGTGTGTATACTATTTTGTTTCTCTTGCTTGGCTTCTTCCAACAATGGGGGGAAAAATTCATCATTATTTTTGCTGGCTATTCTTCGGTGATGAACTCTTTTAAGCTAACAAGACTACTTTACTATTGGCTAGGAGTTTCTGAGTGAACGAGTGACTCCACTTTTGTGGAACCATCATTGCTTCTTTTTTAATCTGCGCGCATCTCCAAAAGCCAAAACCTTCAGTTTTCTGACACCCTTTTGCTTGCAGCTTAATGGATTGGAGTGGAGAGACAGTGGGGGGAGTGAAAGGCATTTGCAAACATGCATTAGAGAGAGGTGGCTAAACGTTCAGAGGCTTTTATTGCGTTGCCAAGTTTAACGTACGTACATATATATATATATGCACCCCAAGAGGTAAGATTTGTGTTGGGCTACAAAGTTCGTGATGACTTTTTACAATTTAAACCCTACTTATTTCACTAATAATCAACTTATCCTCTTTCATTTACTAATAACCAACTTGTAGTGCATATTAATTTTGCATTCAATATTCATTATTATTCATTTCACGCAAGCACTACGTGATTAATCTCAAAGTATACTTTGCAACATTGAAAACCTTAAGGGATTGTCTAATTGTGTGTAATATGTATAATATGAAGTTGTTATTGATTAATGATGTTCAATTGTCTCGATTATGTTAGTGGGGGAAGCTATTGGATTAAATTGTTTTGTAAAAAAAATTATTGTTTGAGCCTAACTGAGTGTAGGAGGGAGACTCGGAGAAATGGTTCAAGGAGAGTAAGCAAAGGGGAATTACTCGTCGATAGAAGAATTGAGGAGATTACAGGAAGGATTGAGAGGGAAGTCTTTAGAGAGAGAAGTTGATGACTTTAGAGATAGAGTCCCCAAAATGCGATCCCCCCCCACCCACCGGAGTAAATGCCATATTTATAGGCTACATGGTAGTGGGTGAGTGGTTGGGTTGCAAGTGGACACAATGATATGACCACTGACATGCCAGGGATTTAGTCCACGCTTTTAGGACACTGATGTGACTAGGGCACTGATGTGACTACTCCTGACACAAGCAGGACTATACCTAGGACTATGATGGTGACTTCCCGTTAGGTAACGCGGCGCCGCTTCTGCGGCTTCTCGACAAGGGCCCACGACCGGGTGATGCGTCGTCGTTTAGCATCCGCGCGCGTCCCTCGCGCGCGTCCCTCCGGGGGTGGTATGCACTAGCGTGCTTGGTTCCGGCGCGACCCGCGCGCTTGGTTCTGGTGCGACTCCCGCGCCTGACTCCGGCGCGCTTCACTCCGGTGTACTTGCGCGCTTCTCCTTGACGCGATCACCCTTGGTGTTTCTTCAATGGAGAAGGA